ATGATGCATATATGACATACATTAAGCGGATCAACCTGTTTCTTGGGGCATTTGTTGCCATATAAAATGTGTCCTAACTCATAACAATAAGGTTAAATACATAGTGTTTATGAGTTGGTCAACTGTCGTTGGTTGACAAAATTGAATGCATAGAATTTGTTTGTCAAACTGTAAAGGCGGCCATTATACGAAGGGTGTGGCCGAAGACCACTCTCTTGCTTTGCTTGGTCAATGCATGTGGACTCTGCCGAGCTAACTATCTGAGTAAGTGTGTGGTAGATATCTGGTTGGCTTTAAATTCAGTCCTTTTTTTTTCTCTCTTTGAAACTTTACTTCTGAACGTTGACCTTTTGAGAAATTATTGATGTATTATTAAGTAGCTAACGAGTTATGAAGTGTGGCTGAGAAATTCTTAGTGGCTTGCTTTGCTTTTGGTTGAAGACCTTCCTCGGGCCTATCGAATAAACTATTCGAGTAAGTGGAGGGTGGATGTCATTGTCGATAGAAATATCGTCCAAGTAGGGATGTTGATGAATATTTTTTAAGATAGAAATTTTATTTACAGAGAAAATAATGATTCACCAAGGCGAACTCATAAACATAAGAAATATCGACCTCACTTGATTTTAGGTCATGTTTAGGCTGCTATTAATAAATTAATGGTTGTTTGAAATTTCTGTAGTTCATTAGTGGCAATTAATTGCTTTCATTGAAATGGAGTTTTGTTTTATAAAATTATATATTTTTTTTAATTATGAGTGAGATTTGAACTTCTAATTTTTCTAATTTTAAATATAAATTGTATTTATATTTAAAATGTAAAAGGTGGGGGGAAAGAAAAGAGTTGGGAAGTAATGAAGAATTAATGGGAGTTGAATGCGTCCCAACTGCTTTGGCGCCGAGTTGGTGTTAGCAATAACTAATTCCCACCCGCCTCTTTTCATTTTCCCTCTTTATATTCTCTCTCTCAAAAATCCCAAATCCATCTCTCTCTCTCTCTCTCTCTCTCTTTCACGAACTTTCACGCTCTTCTCATGGCTAACGAACAAGACCTTCTGTCTACCGAGATCGTCAATCGCGGCATTGAATCCTCCGGCCCCAACGCTGGCTCCCTCACCTTCTCCGTCAGAGTCCGCCGCCGTCTCCCGGACTTTCTCCACTCTGTCAATCTCAAGTACGTCAAATTAGGCTACCATTATTTGATCAACCACGCCATTTATCTCGCTACTGTTCCAGTCCTTGTACTCGTCTTCAGCGCCGAGGTCGGAAGCCTCAGCCGTGAGGAGATTTGGCGGAAGCTTTGGGAAGATGCTCGCTACGATCTCGCAACTGTTCTTTCCTTCTTCGCTGTCTTTGTCTTCACTCTCTCTGTTTACTTCATGTCGCGCCCTAGATCTATCTATCTTATCGATTTTTCATGCTTTCGCCCTTCCGATGATTTCAAGGTTAGTTCCTTTTCGATTTCGTTTCTCTCTTTCTCTTTTCTTTTGGCTGATTATTGTTTAATCTGGTGAAGGATTTGAACATTCTTGAGAACTGCACAATATGCTTCGATTTGGTTTGGTTTGTTTTGTAACTAAATTTTGAAGTCGTGTTTCTTTAATTTTCTTTTCCTAACAAAATGAATTTCTTATGATGCGATATATTTTGATTTCTCCTACTAAAACTTTTTAGCCGCTAAAACTACGGCACATCAAGTAGAGGACTATCATTGGTAGGTGTGTACTCAATTGTTCTTTTATTTGCACATTTTGCATAATTTTTGTTTTTTAGATGGAAAATATATATAGATAGCTTTCACTTTTTCTTTTTAAATTACATTAGTATTGTCAATTGCTATTATTGTTTGTATTCAATTTAACAGATATTTCGCGCTATTAATTAATACTATTTAATGTCAGCATGTAAATTACTTTTGATTTAGAAATATTACGTATTTGTAAAAGCACTTGATGAAAACTGTCCATCCATCAATTATATTAATTCTTTTTTAAATTTAAATTAAAGAAATAAGATGCTTTAATTTTAAGTTAATTTATGAGTGTAGTTTTAGCTAACAGTGTGATGATGCATTGTAGAAATCTTTCGATGAGGATAAGAGTCGAGAATACATTTTTAGAATTTTGGAACCTGAGAATTTAAAATATAAACAATAAATTTATGAGAATTAAATAGAATCATGTGTTAGAAATTGTTTTAAAAAAAGCTCGGCATTTTACAGGTATCAAAGGAGGAATTCATAGAGCTAGCACGAAAATCGGGCAAGTTCGACGAAGGAAGCCTAGAGTTCCAGAAGAGGATTTTAGAGTCATCGGGAATCGGCAATGAAACCTACATTCCAAAATCGGTGATCGCCTCCGCCGATAACTGTGCCACCATGAAAGAAGGCCGAGCGGAGGCATCCGCCGTCATGTTCGGCGCTCTCGACGAGCTTTTCGAGAAGACTCGCATTCGTACAAAGGACGTCGGAGTTCTTGTCGTCAATTGCTCAATCTTCAATCCGACGCCGTCTCTCTCAGCTATGATCATCAACCACTACAAGATGAGGGGAAATATTTTGAGTTACAACCTTGGCGGAATGGGATGTAGTGCCGGTGTTATTGCAATCGATTTGGCTCGCGATATGCTTCAGTCTAACCCTAATAATTACGCTGTCGTCGTTAGTACGGAGGTTGTAGGATATAATTGGTACCAAGGTCGTGACAGGTCTATGCTTATTCCTAATTGCTATTTTCGTATGGGCTGCTCTGCCGTGCTCCTGTCTAATCGCCGCCGTGACTACCGCCGTGCCAAGTACCGCCTCGAACACGTCGTTCGTACACACAAAGGTGCTGATGATCGCAGCTTCAGGTACTTCCTTTTCCTTTTTCGTTTTCCCTTTGTTGTCTTTTTCAGTTTTATTTGCGTTTAGAAGGGAAGGCGAAATGGGATCACTTTTCTTTTCTATTTGTTTTGTTAAATAATTTCATTTCATTTAATTTTGAAAAGGAAGTAAAGAGTTTAATTTTAACATATATATTAAAGCATATTTTCCAAAAAAAATATTTTTAAAGTTTAATAAAAATCATTTTTTGTTGAAATAGTAATTTGGTGGTTTTAAATTTGTAACAATTTAATTATTTTAAATTTTATAACAATTGAGTAAATAAATTTTAATATGAAATATTTTAGTTTCTACATTTTAAATTTTTTTAAAGTTCCTAAAAAAATTTGATGTCGATTTTTATAATAATGGTTTAATTATACACATTAAATTTTAACAATACTTCTATTGTTACAAATTTTAAATTATTAAAATTAAATGGTTACATTATTAAAGATTATAGATTATGTGCTAAATTATTACAAAGTTATAGAAATTAAATTGTTACAAATTTAGGTTTAAAAACTAAATTATTACAAAGTTATAGAAATTAAATTGTTACAAATTATGGTTTAAAAACTAAATTATTATTTTTAAGAAGAGTTGAGGACCAAAAATGCTATTAGTTTTATTTTTTAGATATAATGTTTCATTTCAAATGTAATAAAAATATTAGATTTAAATAGTAAAAATCACACCGTTTTATTTGGTCCATATAACAGTGGTTGCCTTAAATGTCAATGGACTTTTATTTTGTCATATGGCTGTATATTTACAGGCCTATGACATCTTTCAACTGCCAACAAGAATTGTTATTAGGTTCATTGGCTTTTTATGTTGTCTAGCTGTATTCTTTCAGGTCCATTATATCATCCAACTGCCAACATGAAATATTTCTATCTCAGAGTATTTGATTAGGGGTGAAAAAAAAAAAATCTTATTTTAAAATTTTATTTATCTTTTGATATATTCCATACATTTAATGTTTAAAAAGTTATCTTTAAATAAAATTATTTGTTTTATTTACAGTATACAAGGAATTATTTATACTTATTTTTTTTCAAGAATTATCGATGATAATTTGTGTAGTTGCATTGCATTAAAATAAAATTCTGTTATTCATAACAAAAAAAAATTCTTCTTCGTACTTTTAAGTAATTTTAGGTCAATTAATTTAAAATCATTGTTTTGATAGTCATTTTTTCAGTGTTCATCACTAAGATATTTGTTAATCAATCTACCAATATTAATATAGTTTAGTGGTAATTGATGTACTATAAAATCAATAGTTAATGCTATCAGCGATGTCGTAGTTTCGTTCCTTTTTAGGTATGAAATAACTGAACAGTCAACTGTTTTTTATCTTTAATGGTGCATGGTGGGTGGCAGGTGTGTTTACCAGGAAGAAGACGAGCAAGGATTCAAAGGCCTAAAAGTCAGCAAAGACCTAATGGAAATCGGAGGCGAAGCTCTCAAAACCAACATCACAACCCTGGGACCTCTCGTTTTGCCCTTCTCCGAGCAGCTTCTCTTCTTCGCAGCTCTAGTCTGGAGGCAATTCTTCTCCTCCGGCGGCGGCGGTGGAGTACCGAACACAAAGAAGCCATACATTCCAGATTACAAGCAAGCATTCGAGCACTTCTGTGTGCACGCAGCCAGCAAAGGAGTATTGAATGAGTTACAGAGGAACCTTGAGCTTAGCGAGAGAAACATGGAAGCTTCTAGAATGACACTTCACCGATTCGGGAACACTTCCAGCAGCAGCATTTGGTACGAATTGGCTTACTTGGAGGCCAAAGGCAGGGTCAAGTCTGGGGATCGGATATGGCAGCTGGCTTTTGGGTCTGGGTTCAAGTGCAACTCTTTAGTTTGGCGCTCAATGAGGCACAACCGCAAGCCCGCCAGGAGCCCATGGCTGGATTGCATTGACAGATACCCGCTTCAATTCTAACTCACCACTCGTCTCACTTGGCCACTCAATCAGTTTCTTTCGAAGGAAAAGAAGGCTGTTAAGAACTAAGCCATATGGTAACTAGATTTTTTCTGGTTTTTTAGGAAATATAATATTTCTCTATTTGTATGCTGTAAAATCTGTGAACGGTATCCATAAAAAAATCCTATCTTGGTTTCAAAATCATTGAATGTAGTCTTCTTCTTCTAAAGATTCATAAAATACTAATGATTCATATATATATATATATATATATATTGATTGATTGGGAAAAAGATATTGTTTCTCTCATGATTCAAAAGCATGATATGAGATAAAACCAAAGAATCATGCTAACCTAACCAATCTCCCCAATGTCAAAGCTGCAAATCCAAAATGCAAAATCAATTCATTAATCCAAAATGCAAGCACCCAAATAAATAGATCATAAAGCTTGCTCCTAAATATATATATATATATATATATATATATATATATATATATATATATAT